ATTGTTAAAGATTGTTTAAATCTGGTTTTGTAATGCCATATCTTGGTTTCCTCATCTATAGAGATTGAAAGCTATGCTGTGTATAGTAGTCTGGGCTGGCATCTATGTCCTCTTATTGTTGGTAGAATACCTATACAGGACTTTCTCACTGTCAGAATTTCCATGGAGAAGTCAGGTGTAATTCTGATACATTTGCCTTTTTATGTTACTTGCCTTTTTCCTTGGCTGTTCTTAATATACTTTCTCTATCCTGTATGTTTGGGGTTTTGATTATTATGGGGCAAGGGAACTTTTTGTGTTCCACTCTATTTGCTGTTCTGTAAGCTTCTTGTACTTTCATTGGCATGTCATTCTTTAGGTTGATAAGTTTTCTTCTGTAATATTTTTGGATATGCTTTCTGCACTTTTGAAATGGGTCTTTCTTCTATATCTGCTGTTCTAGGAATGCCTTTTTAAGGTGGCCCATATTTCCTGGATATTTTGTTTTAGGGATTTGTTGGGCTTAAGATTTTCTTTGGTCTATGAATCTATTTCTCCTAGTGTATCTTCAACACTTGAGACTCTCTCTTTCATCTCTTGTATTCTGTTGGATATGCTTACATATGTAATTCCTGATCATTTACCTAGCTTTCCTCTTTCCAGCATTCCCTCAGACTGTGTTTTGTTTTGTTTTATTGTCTCTATTTCAGCTTTCAAGCCTTGCAGTGTTTGAAATGTTTTCCCAATATTTGGTTGGTTTTTTCCCTCCATTTCTTGAATGATTTTATTTGTTTTTTCTTTCATTTATTTAAGTGATTATTTCATTACCTCTTTCAGAGTCTATATAATCATCATAAAGTTGTTTTTAGGGTAGTTCTGCTTCATCTGTGGTGTGATGTTAAGGTCTTGATGGAGTCCTTAGACTCTGGTGACATCATATTGATCTATCTGTTATTGACTGTACTCTTATAATATCATTGACCCATTTCTTCTAGTGTGTACCAGTGAGGTATCTTCATCTCCTTGTGGGTACATTACCAAGGTTCTCTTTGGCTGGGTACAAGGATGTCCATTACTCTGATGGTTCTCCTCTTCCAGTAGGTGGCGAAAGGACTCAGAGATTTGCAGACTCTGGATGAGCTGGCCTGCTGGGAAGGGTTACCCAGTGCACAGTCCCCAGTGTTCAGGAGGCAGGCTCCTCCTGTGGGTGTTGGTGGGACTAGGATGCTGGCAGATTCTGGATAGGTCGGTCTGCGTGGATGGGCTCCCCTGTGCATGTTCAGTCCCCAGGCCTCACCAGGTTCTGAGCAGGGAGCTGGAAAGCAGGCTCCTCTGAAGTTTGATTTGTTGATTTCTTAATATGGTTATTAAAGTAGAAATGCTATGAAGTGGGTGGTAAATATTTGTTATCTACAATATGATCAGTTCATGCATATTCAAATCCTCATGACATCATAACAATAAAAATAATGTATCAATTATACACAAAAGCTTTTCCATGTCACTTCATGTTTTATGTTTATTGGACTTAATTTATGTATTCTGAATGTTTAATATGAGAGCTATCTCTTTAAGTTTTGAGTAAAATTTAGCTCAATTTTTAACTACAAATGTTATACTATAGAGAGCATCTTTATAAGTTAATTATTCAACACTATGACATAACTCTACCCAGTAAAAAACTACTTCCTGCCTCTATACCTCAAATCATATGGTAAACAATATTCTGCTTTCTACTTGCATGAGTTTGCCTGTTTTAGTTTCTCTATGCAAGTAAGGATCAATCAGTGTTTCTCCTTTCATCGATTTACATTTCACCTTGCACTGTGACCCCCATGTTCATCCAGGATGTTTCAAACATTCTTTCAAAAGTATTTATTAATGACTCATAACAATGAATGGATTTCTGAAGCTTATGTTGGTGTTTGTTTCATTATGATTTACTAGTTTAATATAATGAAATATTGAGATAGTTGTGTATTAGCGTATAGGAAATTTACTGGATCTCTACAATCAACTTATGCACATTACATAGTTTCTTCATGCATAAATCACAGAAAAATATCTATCAGCTTTAGACACCTATATTACATCTAAATTAGTTGTGGAATTATAAATATTGGTGTGAGACATTCCAATTTACCTTGTCTTGACAAAAAAAAATTATCAGTAGCTTGACATATATAAAAGATTATTATACAATTTTATAGAAAGTAAAAACAGATACATGATGACAATGATCAAAGACTTTATTTAGATGGGGATGTGAATTAGCACTAAAAAATATTTCTTAGTGTCCCTGATCGTCAGGATGGTACAATCTACAAGGAGAAGACAGGGCAGACCACAGAAAACATGTCATGTTTGGCAATTCTATAGGAGGATGACTGGTATAGCACTAGTTGAATAGGGTCAAGGGAGATTTCTAAGAGTCTGTTAGGATAAGTACAAACAAATCTGCATAATATTCAAAGTGTAAAATTACTTCATCCCAAAACTATGTTAATATACAAAAATCACCAAAGCATACAAGTAAGTTTAAATAATTTATCAAAACAAGCATGGTATCTAAAATGAGAATGACAATGGGAAAACAGGAGAAATAACACCTGGTTGGTGTATTGTGTTACTTTGGGAATGTATTCAACAATAGAAATTTATTAAAGAAAGTCATACATTTAATTTGAATGTTTATAGGGGGTCATTAACACATAATATCTACTTGACCATGTATGCATTCTTTCTATGCTACAAGAGAGAAGACAAAAGCAGTTAATTAGATTAATTTCTGTGTTAACATCAAAATAAGGGTATCATTAAGGAAGCCTAGACAAAGTATGGCTTGAAATAGGAAGAAGATAATTTACTATATTCTGAGGCTTAATGGTAGAACACTAGTGATCATTTATGGCTACTGTGAGTATGTTCTTATAATTTTTAGAGACTGGAGTTCATTGTGAACTGACACACAATTAGGTAGAATGGTACTAGGAGAAATGGAATTTAGTTGCTCACACTTTTCAACTTGGAAATTTATGTTCCACTTACGTTTCTTTTACTTATCAAAACTTTTAATTGTATATATTATTTTGTACTGGTGTGTGGTAAGTGGCACATATGTCATGTAATATAAATAAACAATTGCAATGGCTGTACATACATAGAGTTTTGTGGGACAATAGAAGAAATAACATGAAGAGAAGTTAAGGGTTATAGAAAAACAAAGGCCTTTATTATGATTTTGAAAAAGAATATTCTCTTGTTGTTACTAGTTTTTCTGTTACATGATGAGGTAGAGGAGACATGGGAAAGAGGTGTCTTGTCATATATTTGAAGGTAAGCTGAAGACAAAGCCACCATTTTCCAGTGCCTACTACAGGATTTGGCTGAAATTATAGATGTGTGGTTTAAAAGGTTAATAATGGGAAGATAAATAAAGGTTCCAGTGCTATGCTTCTAGACACATATTAGTACAGTGAGCAGGGTACTGATTGGAGATGTCACTCTGTAAATATATTTCTCTTATTGGTTAAATGAATAAAGCTCCATTGGCCATCAGGAAAGCAAGATTGGCAGGAATAGGAGATAGGGAGGATTCTGGGAGAGGTAGTAGAGAGAAGTCAAGGTGTTGGATGTGAGAGAAGTAAGAGCTCTGAACCCTCTCTCCAGTAAGATAAGACCATGTGGAAACACTTGAATTGATAGAAATGAGTTAATATTCAAGATAGGACTAGCCAATAAAATATAGCCTTTGGCCAACAGATTTACAACTAATAGAATCTCTGTGTGTTATTTTGGGACTGGCGTGGCCCTGGGACCAGTTCTGGCCTTGGTAACAGGATACCACGTACTATTTGGAAATCTCTACTCTTGTATCCATATTGTAATTTGTTTAAAGACTTTGGAAGACACAGGAAAAAAAGTCGTGCTAGACTTTTCTAAAACAATGAGGATATCTATTCTAGGCATAGACAGAAGAGCCACACTGCTGCTGGTGAAATCGCTAGGAGAAGATGGAAAGATGAATGCCACCAGAAGATACTGAGACTTCCTGATGTGAATGATGCTATCTGACATAGAACTATAGGCTCTTTCTTGGAGCTCAATTGGATGAGGGTTAGAAAATAAAATTTATTGGTTGTAAGTCTCTTCCATGTGTGGCAGGAACCCTAAAAGGATAGTTAGTTTGGGCATATGAACACTACATGTCATCAGACTGACAAAGAGTTTCTAATTTTATTTTTTCTATATTAAAATTAGCACATCAATGCACTTGACAGAGACTGTAACTTATGAAAATGATATTCCATAACATGGTCTTAGGAACGTGCAGTAGTTATTTCAATTAGGAAAGAGTAGTATAAAATTTTCAGAAAACAAAGATGCTGTCAAAAGCCCCTAAACTAGATCAAGAAGTATGTCAAGATTATATGAACATGGGCATAGTCTTATTCAACCTTTTCAGTATTATTTTCCTGCATGTAGAAACAATATTATTTCTAATGTATTTTCTATTTCACAACTCAGTTATACATGTTTAGGAAGATTTAAAAGTGATAATTGTGATCTATTCATTTTTGCTAAGTCCACTTATCTTAGAGGTCACTCTTTCAGATAGAGTTGGCAATTCACTTAATTGAGAAGGGTCAGACACACAAAAAACAAATAATAGAAGTCTTTCTACCATATATATTTATTCTTTTAAAAGAGATAAGTAAATCTCAACCCAAAAGAGCCATTTCCACACACATAAAACATAATAAACTATAAGAAGATTTTGGAAGTGTTTGGAAAAACATGTAGAGGTGTGGGAGTTAACATCATGTTGATAGGCTCCAGGGCATCCCAGAATTTCTCCCTCCACAAATCCAAAAATTTTGGGTCCAGTCCTTCTTGATAATTGTTTGTAAATAACCATGAACTAACCCAAATTTCAAGATTTGACATGCATCATTGTCTCAAGGTATTTTTCTATCAAAACAATAGATAATACAATTTTTTTGCTAATGCAAACTATTATTTTATATCTGAAATGTTTTCTTTTGAAGCAACTTATTTAAAGCAAGTTTGACATCCTTATTCCTCAGGCTGTAGATTAATGGGTTCAGCATGGGTACAACAGTAGTATAAAATACAGATGACACTTTCCCTTGATCTTTGGAGCTGACTGATGATGGCTGAAAGTACATGAATCCCAGAGAGCCAAAGAAGAGAGCCACAGCAGAGATGTGGGAACTGCAGGTGCTGAAGGCTTTGAATCGGCTCTCAGTGGATCTCATGCGGATGATCCTGGCAATGATAAAACTGTAAGAGCTCAAGATGGTCAGGGTTGGAACACAGAAATTGAAAGCACTGAGGCAGAGAATTACTACCTCATTGACAAATGTACTAGAGCAGGAAAGTTGCAGCAATGGAAGAAGATCACAGAAGTAATGGTTTACGACATTGGCCTTGCAGAAATGCACTTGTAGCATGCAAACAGTGTGAATTGTGGCTTCTATGACACCTATACCATACACCCCACCTACCACCCAGGAACAGACTTGGTAAGACATAGTGACATTATAGAGCAAGGGATGGCAAATGGCAACATAGCGGTCATACGCCATTGCAGACAGCATGTAACACTCAGATATAACAAAGGCTATGAAGAAGTAGAGCTGAATCATGCATTCAGGGTAGGAAATGATGTTTTTCATTGCCACAAAGTTCACCAGCATTTTGGGGGTAACGACAGTGGAGTAACAGAGGTCAATGAAGGACAGACTGCTGAGGAAGAAGTACATGGGGGTGTGCAGGTGGGAGCTGAGCAGGATCAGGATGATCATTCCCAGGTTCCCCAGCACTGTGAGCAGGTAGATTCCAAGGAAGAGGAGGAACAGGGGCAGCTGCAGCTCTGGTTGGTCTGTTAACCCAGCAAGGATGAACTTAGTCACTCTGGAGTGATTGCCTTCAGACATTTCTTCCTGGAATCTCTTTGTAGGAAGTGAGAAAAAAGGTTGTTTATCACTTTGCACTTGACTTTCACATTGGATTCAAGTCCTTTTGTTCTGGTGTCTCCTGTTTGTAACAGTTCTTCATGCATGTTACCATTTAAAGACTTTAATGTGAACTATACAAATAAATATCTAACATATTCACATCTATCTGTATTCTATGAATACCTGAATAACAGATAATAAAAAACTCAATGTAGTTCTTTAACAACTTCTCATGTCTAGCTTATAAATATTTATTTATTTATTTATTCTTATTTTATATGAATTTATGTTTTGCCATGGGTATCTGTTATCCTGGAACTGGTATTACAGACAGTTGTGAGCTGCCATATAAATACTGGGAATTAAATTTGGACCCTCTGGACAGACAGTCAGTGTTCCAAACCACTGAGTCATGTCTCCAGCCCATAAATATTGTTTTATATTAAACTATCAACATCATCCAGGAAAACTCTCAAACAATGTCTGTGAAAAATTTAACCATAAGTTAATAAGTAAAAGCATTCTTAAAATATCCATTGATATTGTAGCATAGATTCCAATTAGAGTAAGTTAAACAAAACACGGAATATAAAGCACCTCTAATTCTAAAGGAAGCAATGAGACTATCTCTACTGGTTAGTAACTCAGTGGTCTGTATAGAAATCCTACTCAATATATATAGGTATTTGAAGAAAGTTTAAAATGGTCAGCAGACAGAAGAATAGAAAATCAAAAATTCATTAGTAATTCAATGACAATTATAATTTATACACACACACACATATATATATACACATTAAAGAAAGAAATGTAAAACATTGCACTTAGAATTGCAAAGCTGTGTGGCAAGGAACTTGAAGACATACAGAAAAAGAAAAGTATCCACATTCATGAGTCAATGAAAATAACTTTCTGACAATGGGTGTAGTTTCTAAGTGAATTTTTTAACTCAATGATATCCCTACCAACTTTGCTGTTTTTAAATTTACTTTGCTTGCACATGGATCATTATACTCCCATAAAAATAATGTGAATAAAGAAAATCAGAACTAACTTACAACAGGAGAATGTAGCTCTTAACTTCCCCCATCTTGTATCTTACTATAATATTATGATATTTTGCTAAGTATAGATGTGCCAATCATTGGGATGAGTTTAACATTCCAGAAGCAAGCTTATATCTATAAGCAGAAGATATAAGTGTTTATAACATATCAAATGGACTTAGTTTTTATCATGTGGTGCTTGATTAATTAGATAGGAACTTGTTAGTAATATGTAACTCTTTCACATACCATTTAATCAAATTAATTCGACATGGACTATTGCAGTGGAATATAAAAGATAAAGCTATATCAATATTGATGGAAAACACAATGACATATTTTACAAATTAGAGTTAGTAATGTTTCTTAGATAGGAGCCCAAATAAGGGGATATTGTTATGCTTTGTGTCTAAAAACAGGAAAATATATCATAGTTGTATGGACCCAGGGAACATCCAAAATTCCCTAGATATGGAAACTTGTCTTGAACAAAAGCATTTGATTAAGAAGTTATATGATAAACACATGCAAAATAGTATAAAAATTTTTAGAAAACAATATGAATACTTTCAGGATGCTGCTGCTTCAAGAAGATATTGTTTGGATGTGAACGTGAACTTATAGTAAAATCCATTTAAAAGTGATAGCAGAAATGATGTTTCTATTGTGAGTCCACAGATCGGCATAACAAAGACCCCCCCCCCCCACACACACACCGCTTCTACAATCTAGAAGAGGAAAGGGAGGTAGACTGCTTGCTTGCCTGATATTCAAAGTCAAATGTTAAAGTTATGGTTTTCATGTTCAAAATATATGGTTCTACAAAAATCATCAAGGCATATGAAAAATTTAAATGTTTGATTGATGCAAACAAGGTATCTGAATGAGTGAAAAGATAGGAATATAAAATACAGAGCTCATTTGTGCCTTGTGCTAATTTCGAGGTGTGTTTTGGATAGAACATTTTATGTTAAACCTATCCAGGCAAATTGAATGTTTATGTTAAAGTTAGTTATACCTAGTATCTACCTGACCAGTAGCACAAGGGGTGTTTTCATTACTATGCTGACTATGAGGAAATAGATACATCTTGTGTTAACATCAGAACCAATTGAGCCATTAGTTATGCCTGGAAAATGTTCGGTTTAAATATATTGTTTTTCATGCCTTCTGTTATATCTCATCAAAATACGAGTGACCATTTTCATCTATTTCCTAAAGTGTCTAGAAAATAGACACTTTAGAAAAACTGTCTTGTTCTGATGTGTGATGATGTTAGGAAACTCTAAATTCAGGTGCTCACCTTTTCTCTGCTTGGAAACTTCAGTCACAGCTCTGTTTTAGAGCCAGCAGCCTTCACATGGAATAGTTCTGTAGTAGGTGATGACAGTTCCGAATAAAACCTCCCCACTCTTTTTTACTCAGGGTATCAGGACACAGATTTCACGTTCTCAATAACTCATACATTATGAATCAATCAAGTGCCATGGTTCCTGTCCCATTTTCACAAACCACAAAAACAGTTTTGACACAAAATATGTGTCAAATGACACACACACACACACACACACACACATATGTATGTATATATATATACATATACATATACACACATATATATACATACATATGTGTGTGTGTGTGTGTGTGTGTGTGTGTGTGTGATTGACACACAAAGAAATTCTCTCAGGATTTTCTATTGTTAGGATGAACTGTGTAGGTTATGAGGGGGTAAGAGCAATTAAAATTTACTATTCTATTCCCCATGTGACATATTATTATCTCCCTGGTGTGTAATCCTCTCTGCTGTGAAATAGTAGTGATGTTTTCATTAACGTTGGAAGCTAAGTCCTAGAGGACATGAATCTATGAAGCATATATGACAATAACTTTCAAACTGAAACAATTTTTTTAAATAATTGATGATGAAGCTATGTAAATGTATTTCTGCTTATCAAAGGCTTGGGGAAATAATGATTTTAATTTTTATTAAACATTATTCTTTTCATGTTTATTTATGTTTTCAAGTTTTATAAAAAGGTCTCAGTGAAATGTTTGGAGAACATGCTGGTGTAGGTATATCTAGAAATAAATGGAGATTAAAGAATACATACAATGAACTTTTGTAATTATTTTAGGCTACTTGATAAGTTACTAGTGGAGTTGTTTTTCATAATGGTATATAATGAAAATTCTGCATTCACTATAACCAGAGGCTATGAATGCACACAGTGAAGGATGGTAACTAGGTTTCTTGAATTGGAAAGTTAAGGATAAGCAATGGTTTGTGTAGTAAATGTGAGTAGAAAATATCTGTATGAATTATGTGTAAATATTCATAAAGTGTAAACACTATAAAAATAATTAATATGTGTTTCTGAAGTTCTTAAGTAGGGAACAGCCAGGCACAGGCCAGTCAGTATCCTCAAGGGTGACTGGTAGGAAGAAATCCATCCTCCCCATCCCCAATACAGTTCAGCTTAGAGATTTGCCAGCTGGGGACCTCAAGGTGGGAAATAATCCATGGGCTCACCTGTTGCTGCAAGGTGGATCCCATCATGATGAGTAAATTATTTGTGCTAGGGCAATGGGAAGAGGCAGAAAAGAATGAGCCAAGACTGTAGTGAGTAGGCTGATGTTGGAGGCCTACTGCCACTGTTCTATGGTATTGTCCAGGCCAGGATGCTGTCAGAGCCATGTCTGGGTCCCTAGTCCTACAGTAGCCGGGGTCAGAAGTTGATGTCCATACCAATCTGAGAGACCTGTACTACAATTTGTGGCATTGGTGACATCCAGACCCAGCTGCTGCTGAGAATCATGTGTGGGTCCTTGGTCTTACTGTGTTGGGGGTCTGTGCTAAAGTCAGATCCTGTATTGCAACCAAAGGTCACATAGAAACTCAGGATTGGTGCCTCATCCCTTGGCCTTTGTGGTGTCTGGGAAACAAGTTGGGGCCATTAGCATCCCAAATGGCCAGCCAGTGCTTCTACCCAGAGCCAAGATGTAGTCCAGGCCCAAGCTGCTTCTAAGGGTCATGTCTATGTCTATGGTTCAGCTGCAGCTGGAGTCTATGTTGAGGTCTGTAACCTATGTAACATCAGGGATCATAGGGACCAGGATGAAATCAGAGGGTCACGCTGAGCCATCCCCACCCTTTGTTGGCCTAGTGAAAGCTGGACTTGCCTTTTTCTGGATACTACAGCAAGAGAACAGGCCCTGACCATCACTGAAGAGCTGGTCCAGATGGCTCCACCCCGCACTGCAGCTGAGGGTGTACCAACCCTGAGGGCATGAGCTTAGGAAGTTGACTCTGCCCCCATGACAGAGTCAGGGTGGCCCCATTTACTGAGACTGACCATCTCAGTTACCACCCAAACCCACAGCCAAGTCTTGGGTTGGTCTATTCTAACATTTGCTCAATGTAGGAGCTGCTGAAGCTCCAGAAGAGACTGGTCCTGTGGAACAATACCTTCAGGATATCCATGACTCCTGGCAAAAAAAAAAAAAAAAAAAAAAAAGGATAGCCCAGAGGAGTTCTGATGAGAATCCAGTGAGGATGGTGTACCAAAAACCACAGGCCTTGAACCAGACCAGTGACTCATTGCAATGAACATTTGCTAGGCAAAACTGATTGGATAAAAGAGTATAATGATATCCTGAGGCTCCCAGTTCCACCATGTAGTGGCATCTTGCCTTGAGAGTGAATTTGTAGTGGTGTCCACAACCTTTGGACATGGTTTCAGGTGCAGACATGACCCATTATAAGGTAAAGAGGGCTGGCTCATGCAAGGTAGAAGAGGGCTGGCTCATGCTCTCTTTGGTTGCTGAGAGCATCAGAAGGGCAGAGACTGCATCTTCTGGAGCAGGAAGACTATGGTGGTTATTTACTCTTACCTGTGTAAGTGCTTCCCTAATAAATACCTATATGTCATT